TTAACCAACCACAAGGCTTGTTGAGGAAAGTACACGTGACCACCTCACCTTGAAGTCACGTGGCTATGCCATTGAAAAGTACACCCAAGCCCACAATAATAGTATTTCAAATTCATTGGGTGATCGCTAGGTCACAGGATATGATCGTTAGACAGACATATATCAGCGCAATCGATAGCCTGGATATCAAATCTTTTCGTATATTTTTTGCAATGTTGTAATTAGAGCTGATTGAACAACTAAACGGAAGGAAGAGAATCAACTAAACAACACGTGCCAATCCAATTTATTTTTTTTATTATAGAAACCTATCGAAAATTTCTAAAAATAGAAAAGGAAATGGCCCAGTTACACAAGCCGCAGTGCATTGAATAGTAATCACTTATGATCGTTGGAAAATAATGATTTATTGACAACGAGACAGTACTTAAAATGTATTGAGCCTTATAACATTAGGTCATTCCTCAGAGGTGTTTATTCATAAAACCATTAAAAATTTAAGTATTGTGATTGGAAACCCACTCAGCAATAGCGTGCATTAGCTAGCTTACAAATAATCATATCAATAATAAAGTCATTTTGTAAAATGTAAAGTGAATAATCAGTATTTTGAGTTTTACATTTTATCTTGAATTGTGCAGAAAATGTATGTTTCTTTTAGATGCATTTCTATTTGTATGATTAGCAACAAATATTGGTATTTTAATGGTTGGAAACATCCTATATGTATTACTAAAAATTCTACCTTTAACCTGACATTCAAGAAATTACGCAAGATTATCCAATCGTAGCAACAATAATGACAACCATAGAAAGAAATCCCCTATCTGAAGTTGTTGTTCTTACTATCGTAAACATTACTATTACTTTACTTCTTTCTATGTATCCTGTTAATTTCTCATCAAATTATGTTAATATGACGTGGAAACTTTAGGTTAAAACATACTTTTGACAAATGTCACTTCGTTTATGTCTACTTGAATATGGGGTTAGCTCAAAATATCGTATCACTCAAGCATAATTATTTATCTTGTTGCCAGCAGCGTATACATACGGCTAAAGACACAGAAACAGATGGATGGACAAACAAATAGTTGCTAATGTGAGAAAACTAGGCAGAATCACAAACGCAAAAGTGTGTACATTTAATGAGACGTATTTCCCTAAAATATAGACATATAAAATCCACAAAATATAGGGAACCGTTAAAGATGACAACAAGGGAAAATAAAGAAATGAAAAGGGAAATGGCACTTCAGTTCTATGAAAAGCATCCCTTTAATTATGACTAGGTTTTATTCGCATTACCTGATCTATACAACCAATGAGTTTTATCAACTTATTATTCACTAAATACGATCAGTTTTACCAATGCAACTCAAACACTCTCAATAACTTTATGGATTATTATCGCGTTTTGATGAATGTGAGTTGGTAACCAAATAAGTAACTATATATATCATCTGAAGAGACATTATGAGGAAATAAGCAGTACTAAAGTGTTGTATAAAACATTTTCAATGGAACTTTTATTTAAAAATTACTATTTTGAAATTTCAATTTGTGAAATACTTATAGATTCAGTTTTATTACATCTACTTCAATTACTTGGAAGGTAGCTTATGCAACGAAATACGTGTACATCACATTTATATTACATAAATTTAAATCAGCTACATAGAAGGGTCCTAGGTGTCCACTGTTGAAGAGTTCCATACTTAGATGAAAAGGCCGTTTAAAAAAACATCTGGTTTCCACTGTTCTTCTAGCGAAATACAGTTCGTAATGTAATTTACCTTTAAATTTACAAATATTTAATAATTCGCACAACATTCGCTTATTTATCAAAAAAGTAATCCCATAATTTAGATTGAACTTGAATGCTTCATCTTCATGAAATGACAAGAAAACATGGAAATACAATTTATTAGAATACTATTCTAACACTCAGTTTTCGGGTGAAATCATACTAAACTGATGAATTAATCACATTTGATATTTTAGACGTTGAATTTTCACCTAAAATTTAAAACACGGTGGCGGGAAGCTAGCGTCTTATCAAAAGTTAAATGTAACCTATCAGTATTCTAGTTACTAAGAGGCTGGAAATCGGTAACATAATAAGACCAAATTATATGGAATATAAATCATAATTTCTTAAAGGTAACTTGGATGTTTTTGATATTTAAAATAAAAGAACTACGTTCACAAGTATTTATCCATATGACGATAAACCATTCTTTGTTCCATTTCCAACCATGATCCCTTGACCTAACCCTTATATCCTGATCTCAATCCTAATGTTTAACAATAATCTATAAAGCGTAGTGCTAACCCTAACTCCTAAGCTAAATTATTCATTTATATCACTCGTGTTTTGGTTGACTTTTTTTCCTCAAGATCGACTCAAAACTCGCTAAAAGTTGTCAACTAAGTATAATTTCAACAGCTATCATTTAAAGTTGACTCTAAGTAATGAGCATTATTAAACGATGAGATGTAGTGATATCTACATGAGTAATTTAATAAATAAAGTTCCAAAAATCCTCAATATAAATACGAAATATCAATTATTTCTTCTATATATGGATAATGTATACGGTTTATTGCTTCATAGAATTTATAACCCTTTTACTATCCACTTATGTCTAACTGAGACGTATGACCTTACATTAGAATGTCCATGAGTTTGCAGATCTGAGGTTTCTCAAATTAGGATAAATCATCCATCAAACATCTAGTTTTTTTTCAATGGTTTGTTAGACGGTGTAAGCTTATGACGAATATTGTATTCAAAGCAATGAAGGCACCTAAAAAACACGTAATTACATAATAATCTGATTTGCACTACTAGTTGCAGACTTGAAGAAAGATTTCTCGGTAGCTGTTATATGAAACTGTTAGCAAATGGTATCATCGAACAATCTACAAATAAACTGTTATCCTCTGATTACATTGACTGCCAATTGTATTGTATCAGTTATAGACTAAAGCCAAAAATGAAGATCATTGAATTCACGTTCAGTGATCTGTAGGTACAATACTCAGAGTTACATCAAATGTTTCTGAATTTTATCTCTTGTGAAATTGTGGGTACGCATCGATATTCAGTCTCAAACCAAGAAGAAACAGTTATTCACTTCTCTTTTATTGGACAGAATGTGACAAAATCAATCTTTTTATTACAATTTATTCAGTGAAGCAAACCATTCTGGTGACTTCGTTCCATTACACTGTAAAATATTTAATAAGTTTCTATTCTCAAACACATACAATAATAATAATAGAGGATTACTTTCACCTATTTTACTTGATCTTCCAATTACTATACACAATCAAACTGAAATTTCATGTATTTAGTTTCCTTTACAAATTTAAATCATAAACAAGAATGACATTAATTATAGAACATGATGAATGCAGTGGTCTTGAGTATTGTTAAAAGTATGAGGACAGTTATCACTTCCCGGTTGCCCACACCGTGGAAGAGTTCTTCTAGAGGTACTTGAAAAAGAAATTGGATAAAAGGTGGTCTTAGTGACCTGAGAGCGTGACCACAGTGTCCAAGGGACAACTGCTTGAAGTCGGTCACACACAACTTTTTGTGAGTAATTTTTGTGTTAGCTCCGTACTTGTTGACACCTCATCGCCGGAGACGGATATCCGTGGGATAAGGTGAGGTGTACATTTTTATGGTCGACCTTTTCTAACCCAACCCCTCCTTGTGGGAAGGCAGCATCTCTGTTGTGCTGGTTGTTCGAGGGAAACACCTTACTGCTGTCACACCTTTGTACAATCAGCAGTACGACCTCGCTCTCGGACTTTGTGTTTGCTGCTTCTAGTTCTACCGTTGTTCAACCGACCTATCTGGCATGGTAAGACCTTGTGGAACAGTTTTTCCAGCCAGTATAGGTCGATTGGTTCATCACAATAGGCAAGCCCAACCACCACGTCAAGGTAGCAGCAACGATCGAGACAGAATATAATACATTCACTGCATTACATTACTTTCTCTTTAGTATTCTTTACACTGTATATGGCTGCATTTTTGTTAGCTAACCATCAACACCAATAATTTATAATGGAGAAAACGAATCATCGAGATAATTGATCTTATTAGTATACTAGATTTACAAATTTTGACTTGTTTATACATTTCCATACAGCTGTTTCAAGCAATTATAAATTTTGAAAAACCTGTTAAAAAACCCAATTCCTAACTATTGCATTCACTCTATATGGACCTATCCAATTAGTGCAAATTACAAATTATATTTATAAATCATTGTATTCTCCAATTAATCTTGTTTTGTTTTTCCATTTAAACCTACGTTTATTCCAATATCGGAAAGGATACATAATAAATGACAACTGATTCACAAAGTATTTTTTCAATATAACATCACAAGAATTAAAATATAACATAATTCTACACTTTTCTATCGAAATAAAGGTAATAGGCAATTTTGGTAAAGCTGTGCCATACCGGCATCCTTGAGCGATCAATTAAAATTAAGCTAACCGATGCCAAAATTTATAACGCTGTTACGGAAAGCTTTTTGTTTGGTTTCCTCAATGAACCGTTACGGTCAAGATGTTTGGGTTAGAAGTGTTAAAGTTAAGAGATTTAAAGTTAGAATTCAGGTTTAAGGTTAGGAGTATTAATATGAAGAGCTAATGTTGAGGAGTATTAGGCTTAAGAGCTTTGGGTTTAGGAACTAGGATCTAAAAATTTTAGGGTTAGGAGTCGGGTTTTAAAAGATGTAAAGCTAATAAACAGGGTCTTTTCGGATTACGAAACTATGATATCAAGCACGAATTATCGATATTTAGTTAAAACTCCTAACCCTCGTATTTCAGTTGTCTATATTTTTAGAGTTCTTACACGAAAGTCACATTTTGTTTTGCTAATCTCAAGGCATTTCATAAATTCGGCGGTCGTAGGTGTAGAATAGTCCTGCCGAATTTTCTTTTTTAAAAATAATGAAAATCAAACTCACGGGAGGCAATCTTCCGCTTCATAATTTGGCTTAATAGGATTTGGACGCTTTTGAACACGATTAACTTCCATATGAAGACCTTCCAATACATATCGTAAGAATTCTTGTGAATCCTGTTGACTAGAAAAAAAAAAATAGCTTATAAGATATATTCACTAACGACAAAATATGTCGGTAATATTACCAAATCCCCACCAGTGAAGTATTCATAAGATCAGAATATTAAATGTAAATATGTATACAAGATAGGAAATTTAAAACTTTAATACTTCAAGCATAATTTTAGCATTATTATTATTATCATCATCACTATCGTCATTAATATTACTCTTAATGGCTTTGCTCAACATTACTTGTATGGTACAATATCGAATTCTAATCACAAAGTATCTCAACAGGTTTCTTTTACAAAGCAAACCAAAGAAACAATAACTTCATACATATATATATTTAAATGAAGAAAATACCAGGAATTAAAGGAAATGTTTTCTAATAAGATTAGAATTTGTACGACTTTTAGTTAGAAACATGTTTAATCATACAAGTTATTGACTTGGTCAGCTCTCACAATCTATTCATCACATATTATATTTGCTAGATAAGGTTAATCAGATAGAAGCAATGTAGAACCTGCCACATATGTACATCTGTCCAAATTGCCACAATATATCAATGCAACCAGATAAAATTATCAAGATAACTACCAAAATAGTGGTAACATAATGATTTAGATTGTTTGTTTGTTTGTTTGTTAAACCATTAACTTTTCAATCATTAGGTCATAGATTCGAATCCATTTTCTATCTATATCAGCCGGATACCATAATCACCCTTTATATATGGATGGAGTTTTCAGTAAATGAGTTGCATTGCAGCAAATCAATGTATCATTAAAACTATTCACTTAAAACATTCATATTATTCTCAACCATATTTCTTAAACGTTTATCTCACTACTGTAATTAATCTCATTACAATCATTATTTCTGCTCTTCTGTTTTTCATTTAATTTCCTTTCGTTATGATGCTTATGTGAAATGTGACAACGTGGATCGATACACATTTGTGCCATATTCTAGGTTGATTACCATTGATTGAATGAATGAATGAATGAATGAATGAATAAAAAACTATCTAGATTTTTGCCATTCACGGTCAATACTGATTTGACAGTAAATAAATTATTTATAACCTGTAAAATCATAATTAGATTTTACTTAAATCTTACAAACAATATTGATATTATGCTGTCCAGAATGACAATGTAAACGCTTAGTAATCAAACTATGTAATTCAGGGTACTCAACATCACCAAACGGTATTGATTATAGCATTTGTTCCTTGGGGCAAAAAATAATCAGTAGTATAGTATATACTTTGTGAAAGAATTCTTACTACTTACATTGTAAAGCTATTCTCTTCAACTATTAATCATTTTTCTAGTATTCAAATAGATGGATTAAACTGCTATAAGGATAAAGCTTTTATTGTGTTTTTTTCTGTAAGAAAGAACCATACACTTTAAACTAAATGATCTGCCACAATTTGATTAGACAACCAATTAAATACAGAAAGGATCGGATAGCCGTCTTGTCCTAGTACATCCATGGCCATAACAGGCATCCAGGACCTTCAGACCACTGAAGTTAATATACAATGTCTACATCTCTAGCTTCAGTCAGTTCGCGTTGCTTCGTGACCATCATCCATTGCTGTTACTAGTGTGCTTCACTCTCAATGTGGTTGGATTCCACCGGTCACCGCTTCTCCAGTTCTTCTGTGTTTACAAAGGTTGGCTAACCAAAGTCAGTCTGTGGTGTGAAACAAATACTTATTTATCAACGGGTGGCTGACAGCTTTTGAAAGTTAGTATACACACAGGTTACAAACTATGCTAGCTTTCCACTAACTATCTGCAAACATACATATGGAAACTAAAAATATGATTAAAACAACAATTTGGAAGATATGTCGATGTGATCTGTGTTGGGATGCTAGGTCCCCAAAAATCACTCGGTAAGCGTCTTATTTTTTAAATTTTATTTCGAAATTTTTGAATTTCTCTTTTCCGCACCTAAAGCGCTTATTTCTACCTTCAAGTTGCATTTCCCACTTGGAAGGACCCTATATATCATTGGTTCGTTGCCTCTTTTAATATGCTGTTTTGTGAGATTTCTCAAGGACATTTTTATGATGGATATATACACTTAAGTTGTGTGCATGTGGTTGCTCGTGCTTCTGACTGCTTGTGGAACATACTATTCATTTATCTGGACCTGGTCTTCTCGCTCTAGTTAGCGGAACTGGGGTGTATAGGAATATTCTAGCTTGTCTTGTCGTTGTGTCACTGACCCTTCGTTCCGTTCGCTAATTTAGGTGATCTCCTAATCTCTTCAAATATATCGATCTGTCATCAGGAAAGTTATTTACTCAGTAACAGGATAAGAGCTGTTTACGAATGTGTATCAATCCAAGTTGTCAAGCTAACTTTAGTAGGGTTGGCAAAGAGGAAACAGAAAATAATAATATCGATTACAGAGGGGAAAATAAACATAAGAAATGTAGTTTGAAATGAACAGATGAAATTGAGGACCTGAATTTGCAGAGAAAAATAAAGAATAAATAAAAATGCACCCTTCCAATCGATGACAGAGCTATTTCATTGACTACGCCTTATACTTAGATTACGATATTCTACCGACTTGTGAAATAAGAAGTTTATACATGCTTATGACTTACTCATCTACTGAACTTTTTTTAGACCAGGTTTGATAGCCATAAATGGAAATACTTTAAAATTACTACCAAAAATATCCTTTTATTTCACACTACTTAAACTTTCATGTAGATACGAAATTATAAATAGATGATGAAATATATACTTACGAATATCCCATAAAGCGAGGAGCGAATCGTTGAATTTGACTTTTAAATCGACTTGGACTGGTGGAAGAATTAGCCAAATCAGGATCCCAAATTTCTTTCATTAAATCAGCATATGCTATTTGATAATGATGAGGAAAACGGAGAAATAAAATATCAGTCACTAAAAAATAGTGTTTTTTACTGACATACCCAGTGTATTGTTAATAATCAATTTCAATAGTGGAGATTATGAGTCAATTGAAGCTAGACCACACCATGGAAAACCTGAAAGCACTGGTTAAGCGCTCGCGCGTGAGACTGATAGGTCATGGATTCGAATCCCATGGGGCGGGATCGTGGATGCGCGCTGCTGAGGAGTCCCACAATAGAATGAAACGGCCGTCCAGTGACCCCAGGTTTTCCATGGTGATCTAGCTTCAATTGACTCATGATCTCAACCAATGGAATGAATTACTATAATATCCACAAAAACCCTACTTTGATATTAATAATCAATTTATCAAATATTTTATAATGGTGGAAATTCCCATTCAAACGCTTAGTGAAAAAAAATGAATAGAGAAAAGAAATATTTCTTCTCTTTATTCATATTTCTCGTAAATTCCTTATTTCTTAAAAAAATAATAAACTACTAGTGATTATGATGTCAGTAGACCAAATCTAAAATACCGAATAGAGATTATTAGACTTGATTATTGCTTCAATGAGAGACTCAAGATAACTAAGTAGTAAGTAGAGTATGTTTACCGTTTTGCAGAAATATAAGAGATGCAAATATTATTACAAAAAGTTACATATTTATATTTAATCCATTTCAGTAATTTGTTCACTATTGTATATCACCACGGGATTTGAATCGACAACTGCATCTCTGTGCTAAGGTGGTGTGGCAACTCGAACTGATGTACGTACGTACGAAGTTCTACGTTGTTACTGACTGACTGACTTATATCACAGTTACTGACTATACATCGTTAGAGTTTACATACCAAAAAAAGAGACAAAATAACAATTCAAGTTCAACCTACAATGAAATAACATCCCATTCATGGAACTTGATTTATTGATGTCTTTGAGAAATCGATCTTCCAAGCAATACTCGGTAAGCGGAGCTGTATTACTTAAACATTGAAGAATCGAATTCATAAAACACTAAAATGAGAAAAAGGAGAAGGGAATTAGGGTATGAAAAGAGTCAGGTAATTACGTAAATAACATAGTATATGGTAAATAGCAAATCAACACAAAAAAATGTTCCGCTCGTTCTTATATGTATCGTATTTCATAATGAAGCAAGTTATATTCAATGGAAATAGTGGACGACATTTATTGATTAGAAAATTAGGTCAAAGGATGATTGAAATGAAAAGAAAGTTAACTAGAAACAAATTTAAGTAACCAATAAGTAACAATAAAAGGTTTTCAGTATCGAAGATCTGGTTCTGATACAAAAATGTATAACGTCATATCTTAATCAATCGTTCATTTATTATTTTCCACTAGATATTGAGTTTAAGGATATTTTTTCTTACATGCTTTTTTGTTCCGCCGGTAAGACTATAATTTATGGACGACCTTTGAGCGACGCTAAACTAACCTTGAGAGTGTCCACCTACTTACTAGGGCTAAATGAGGGTTATAAAGCAGTTTGAAGAATTATGATTATGATTTACAGTTGATGATTAGGGTTAGGAATTATATTTAGAGTTTTTATCACGAATTGACATCAGCTATAATGCAAACACTCTATTTAGCCAAATGGGTGAATGAATTTCGCGCCAAAATCTAAGACTTGTCATCGTAAATCTGATTGGTTCGTCCATAAATTATAGTCTCACCGATGTTGCTATTCAACTTGTTTATTTCATTGCATCGTGCTGATAAGATATGTAACCGGCTGACGCGCAAACTTACTGGACTCTACGTTAACTCTGACTGAGATTAATAACTGAAATCTCTTACCATATTGTTGGGATATTCAGGAAAATATCCCAAAAATTATTCTATTAAGTCTAATGCTATTCTTGGACTTGGAGATGGTATTATTCTCTTATTGGACAGTGCTTATTTCACTTGTCATTTTCCTACTGGTCAAAATTGTACAATGTTATTTTCTATTTTATGGTACGTTGTGGTCTGCTTAATTAGTATATAAACAGAGTGCGTTTGAAATATAATGATTCATATATCCGAGGCTGTGACTTGCGTTCTGGACTCAACTGGCTGGGTTAGACAGGGAAGCGGGACCAATCAGAACCCTGGGTCGTTCTACGTGTTTGCGCGTCTTTGGTCCGATCAATAGTTCGCTACCCCTTAATCAGCAGCGTTTTCACGTTATAACATATATATATATATATATATCATGTGAGTAACCTACAAGTTTTGCCTACTGTAATCACTTAAGTAATATATCATATCCGCTGAGCTATCAAACACACATGGATTAGAAAACAAAAAATGTAACGTTTTAAAGGTAAACAAGTTAATTAACCATTAGAGTATATAATAAAAGTTATTTATAACTAACTCAAAAGAAGAATAGATTTATAAATAACAGTTTTATTAACGAACAAATTCATCGAATTAGTTTTATTCACAGAAACAGATCTACTAACTAAAACAATCTACTTGTCAATAAAAATTTTTTTACAATAAAAAAGTTTATTAATCTTCGAAATATTTTCTTAACACTAAATACTTGCCAAATTATTAATCGATTCCATGTTATTTTTAATCAACTCAATTTGAGTAGCAATTAACAGTATGTATGTGTGTATATATAACGATTTAGTTTAGTTTATATCAGTCAGTCAGTCAATCAGTTACAACGTAAGATCAGGCACATATATGCATCGGTTCAAGTTGCCACATCTCATTAACACAACAAGATGAACACCAGATTCATAGAAGTAGTTACTTCAATGGTAGTAATATGTAACAGAAAGATTGTTTATAAGCATATAATACAGGGAGAGAGAATTAGTTCGTAGAAACAAAGGTATAAAGCGATTTTAATCTCATAGTTCAGGGGAAGACAAAGAGTACATACACCGATGCTATTGTGATCGATTCTGAGACATATCACACACACTCTCCAACCATTGGTTACGATAGTCACGCGGACCCCAACCAAGTAGTCTGCATCTACCAACATGGCTAAAACTAGAAGTTAGTGACTTCAAGCACTGATACCAAGTTTTGGTTTGGCCGCCACTAGCTTCCTCCCAAACGTCTCCAACACTAGTCAGCATTGCGCGTCGTGGTAATCGGTGTTCAGGTATACGCAACACGTGACCCAACCATCTCAGTCGATGAAGATTCACAACCTTATCAACTGATTTACCATCACTCCCAGCAGATGTGAGCTATATGGTATCAATTTGTATTGGTCAGTATTATCATAATTCACATATAATACCACAGTTAAGAAGGATATTTAAATAATATCACAACTTTTTAGAAAAAAACCAAAAGTAAGTTGAAAATACTTCGAAAAGAACGAATGATATCAAAGAATGAAATGTAATAAGTGAATTTAAGCTTAAAATTTTGAAGAAAATAGATAATGAATCCAACTGTGTAAATGAGATCAATTTGTGACATATAAGTCTACAATCATACACATATTACGATCATTGTGTGGATTTTAACCAAAAAGTTTTTATTTCAACTTATAAATACACCAAATATCTATGACTTCATAGTTGAATTTGATAGAAACAAATAAATCAATTAACTTTAACTCTGTCGGCAAGCGAAAGAATTCCTAACTTTGTAGAAATGCCACTACTATCGGCATCTCAACAACATTTTACAAACCGCATCAATAAAAACAGTGTGTTGAAGCAAGGATCCATGTATAAACGCATCAATGTTATGTATTACCTAACTCAGTAAGACAAACCAGAACTTTTTATATGCTGAGATTATTCTATTTCATTAATTTTCTACATTTACTTAGTGCGTTATTAATATAACCTCTGGAAAGTGATGTATAAGTCATTAGATAAACTAACTTTGAGTCTAGTTAAAACCATACATCCTATACCTTTTTATATACATATACATTATCCCGTTTCTTGTTTCCACAGTAAATAAAGAGATTTTAAGAGTGACTATGAACCTACAACCATTATGACGAGTAATCTGAACGTCGAGTTGTAAAAATTTTTTTGACATAACATTGTCTTCTACCTAAACTTTACTCCATACAATGAAGAGTTAGGGGCGGCCAAACCGAAACGTGGCATCAGTGCTTGAAGTCACTAAATTCTGGTTTGAGCTATGTTGGTAGATGCAGACTACTTGGTTGGTGTCCGCGTGACTATCGTAACCAATGGTTGGAGACTCTTGGTGACATGGCTCAGAATCTATCACAATGGCGTCGATGTATACACTCTCTGTCTTCTCTTAAACTAAGAGATTAAAATCGCTTCATATCTTTCTTTCTACGAACTATCTTTCTTGCTGTACTATATCCTTATATGCAATCTTCCTTTAATATATTACCACCTCTGAATTAACTACTTTTATGAATCCGGTGTCCATCTTGTTGTGTTAATGAGGTATGACAACTTGGACTGATGCATATCTGTGCCTGGTCCTACTTTGTAACTGACTGACTGACTGATACAATGAAGAGGGAAAAGATAGAAAAATTTTATTGTAAGTGTTAATCTTGTTTCAACTTTTTATCATTTTTTTAAATACTTTCCCATACCATACCATTATCACCTTATTTGATCTTTGCAACTATATTTTCATCTTTTTACAAAGATCTTTGATAATTAAATTTCACAGATTTTAAAAGATATAAAACCATTAGTTAATATGACCATTTAAAAATAATTAATATTTTCTTTATCAGTTTATTATACACTTCTTTATTAAACGAATAATAGCTTATTTTTTGATTGAGATCATGAACCGATTGATGTTAGACCACCGTTGGAAACCTGCAAGCACTGGATGGCCGTTTCACCCTATTGTGGGACTCCTCAGCAGTGTGCACCCACGATCCAGCTCGCGGGATTCGAATCCAGGGCCTTCAATCTCGCGCGCGAACGCTTAACTGAACAATCTCCACAACCCTTAAACTGATAATAACTTATTTGTTTGCTTATCTGATCGCTCAATGTGTCTTAAGTGAGTTTAAGTGTTATTTGATTGATACAAACTAAAAACGTTTATATATTAATGCTAAATGCTAAAAACTAGCTCAGCGTCACTTTGAAAAATCAGTTTGCAGTAAATTATTTTATGAACGAATTTGTAACACATTTTTAGATTACAATAATTCCACATAAAATATGTAAATCTACATACTGTAACACTTTAGAGATTTTACTTCGTTGAATTAATGGTAAAGCTATACGATAATTAATACTTCAGATTTTTTCAATTAAAATGTGTACTACAAAGATGATGACATTTGACTTACAGTGTTTCCAAGATTGTTAAGGCCCACAAGTCCACCTCTGTGATATGAGTGATGAGAGTTTACTGGAAGACTGATTGGTGCACGAGGAGGATTAGCTACTGGAGAGTCCAAACGACGTACAGAATTCCTGCTGCTATAAGTGTTATTGATTTCCGAAAATTCCCGTCGATCTATAGACTGGAGATTTTTGGTCGAGCAATAATCAGTGTGATAACCGTTGCACAACTTTTTACTTGAATTAGTGCTTTCATTTAGATCAAGTTTTGAAAAGCGACCATTCAAGTCACTTGATCTGTCATTTACATTGCCACCGAGACTTGATGTGGTGCTATTCCATAATGTGGAACCTGATTTCTAAAACAAATAAGTAATAAGTAAGTATTCAACCTAACACTTAACTTAAAAATGCAACGTTTAGATACGACACAGACTTTCGTACATGGACACAACTTAGGCAGCTTAAACGATAGTAGGACCGCTGCGAAATATCAAAGGGAATTTTAAACTAACTACCAGAGTTTCCAGCTTTTACGACAGAATTAATATGATCACAGGATGGGGTTTTGTTCTACAACGAAAGACACTATGTCACGCTGAAATAATGAAACGTACCTTAAACATTGAAATCAACTAAGTTGAGAATCACTGACTATCGCAGAATAGTAACCGCATGTTTTAAAATACCAAACAAATAGTAAATAAACAAACTTCGGGACTGAAATGCCCGAAGAATACTGATATATATATACTGATATATATACTGATATATATATATATATATATATATATATATATATATATAGACGCTGATTGAGGGTATTTACAAACAGAACTGTTGTGACTGGAAACTTCTGAGACATAACTAAAAGAGGAAAATCAATATCACATTTAAAACTAAAGTGCTACGAAATAAATTAGAAAAATATCAATTTCATTAAGTTACCAGGACCGTATTTTATAGTGAATTATTGAGAACGATTCAGAATACTAGCGATGTTTTGCTGGTTTGCACTTTATAGCAAGGTCCTTTTTTAGAGGGCAGTGTTGCTAAACCTACTTCCTACCCTCCTTTACATGGGCTTGGGACTGGCTCTAGGCGATGTTAAGTGAGAATCAAAAAAGTTAAGGAGAACTGGTAATATTCACCTAAGTTACACACACAATATAGCAGTTGTAATAGCTCCAGAAATGCGGTGAAAATTATTCACTGCAAACACAAATTAATTTTATGTGCGTTGGGAAAGGTATTCATCTACTTTCGAAAAGCTTCATATGAAATGTAGAGTTAATGCTAACTATACTTAACCAGAACAAACAATTTAAGATGTCTAATAACAAGCACATAAAAAATATAGATGCGTGTAAATTTAGTCAGCCATATATAACGCAGGACCTGGCACAAATCCCCATTGGCGTACGTTGCAACACTAATTTCAACTGAGAAACAACTAGACGATTGAAAAAACATCCACTGAAATGGAAATGGAGACATGCAAAATATAGCTCAAAAAATAAATGAGGCTAAAAATAAAGTGTATTGAATGACATTAAACCATAGGTTTAGAGTATAAATAAGTTGGTGCAACTGAGAATAATTTTAAGACATCTCACCCACCGTGGACTAAGATTATTGTTCTAGTCCCAATTAAGAAGACTACATATTTACACATGGTTCAAACCAACGACTGACAACCTCAGTTGATATCATGTCTAGGTTTGACAGTTTATAAACATTTTCAACCGGTTGTAGCTGCCGGTATAGCACACTGATAAGTTCTTCGATGTACCCGACACACATTCAAACAACCTAACGAAGTCTCACCACAAGATTTCACTGAAAAGATGTGGTACTGATGATAATCCAGCTATAGACGTCCCTTATACGATGAAAGCTAAGAACCTTAGGGAAGAGATTTTTTGTTGAAAAAATTTTGATAGATAAAAGCGGACAGTAAGATGTTAACTTAGCACAAATACTTTTCTTCCCATAGCTAAAAACCAAATATTGCTTCGAATTTCAAGTCATTCATAACCTGAAATGATACATATGAAGCGAACAGCAATGTCTCAAAGTGAGTTTCAAATGGGCTTCAAAAAAGGCAGTGATTTTGTACTTGCTGTGATTATCCTTGCTTTTGTGTAATTGTTACATCAAAACGCCACTACACATTCTTCGTCTATATCAAAGGTTTGAAATCTTGCTAAAGTTTGTCTTGTGGTACCCTTTTACTCGTTGACTGACACTTGTGTTCATACTGTAATCATATTGTGTTTTACACCTTAATTTGACTAAAAGGGTTGGTAGTACTCACAAATATGGATAATCAAACTGTTTGTTCCCTGTGGAGGAAGGAATGCAGTGTGATGAATGCAAAAAGTGGTTCCATAAGATGTGCACTAGTTTAAGTCCCACCGCATAAAAAAGGGGATAGGACATACATTACGCAAATCGTCAAACTGCATCACGAGGCAAGCCCTAACTTGGAATCCTGAGGGGAAGCGAAAAAGAGGAAGGCCAAAGAACACATTGCGTCGGATAATAGAAGCAGATATGAAAAGGATGAATTACAACTGGACGGAGCTAGAAAGGATTGCCCAGGACAGGGTTGGATGGAGAACGCTGGTGAGCGGCCTATGCTCCTTCACGAGGAGTAACAGGCGTAAGTAAGTAAGTAAGTAAGCATAAAAAAGGTGTTCGAAGCCTAACTCACATTGGCTTTGCATGTTTTGATGTGCAAATTAGACGTTACTAATACAGGAGGCTATGAGCCTATTGGCTTTGACCTGTAAAAAGAACGATGGCGCATGCTCTGATAATACGAGCACTGACAGTGACGAATGTGTCAGTGTATTACGTGCTGTTACGAGAGGCCTCAAACACCCGACAGTGACTGACGGAAAAGTGAAATCTCCGTTAACATTAACGAGGGGGGGGTAGTATCAACTGACACTAACATTAGTAACCATGCACATCTAATGGAAACTGAAGATCTGGATAAAACCGTTACCGTTCCAAATAGTCCCAGTGTCCTGAGGGATGAAAAATGGACTACAGTACGGAGAAAACGAAACAAAAAAAGCTGAGGCAGTGAGCAGGTGGTTAGCAAGTCATTGTGAGCAAATTGCTGGAGTCAAACAACTCTGATCCCAAAATTAGACACGCGCATGATTTATAGAAGCTGGGAGTATATATTCGTAGTATCTTACCAGATAACTTTAAAAGCGTTCAGGTAAAAAGCTGGTTAGAATAGGCAAGAGGACCAAGGACAATGTTGAACCCCGACCATCCAGACTCCTTAAGGTAGTTCTAGGATCGGAGAAGCAACGGCATCTCCTGTTAAGTAGCGCTCGTTGTCACGATAATTCCGACATCCGAGTTAGACCTGATATGTCTCTCGAAGATAGAATAAAAAGGAAGAGAGCACTAGTTGAACTAGAAACCCGTCGGCAAAACGGCGAAGAAAATATCCGGCTAGTGGGTTTTCGGATAGTCAGGTCTTGTAAGCGAATGCTACCAAGGCCTGTGTGGATAGGCTGTTCTACTTAGGAGTTTTATATGCCAACGCTCGTAGTCTACGAAATAAGTTCTATGAACTAGAAGCATTAGTGGACAGATTAAAACCACTCATTGTAGCAGTGACAGAAACTTGGTTAGTCCATGACTTAGACATTACTCCAGAATTATCCAGATACCATTACCTCAGGAGTGATAGACATAGATGTAGAAAAGGAGGTGGCGTCCTGTTATATATAGCCAATAATATAAATATCCGCTCCTCTGCTAGCGAATCCTATGATGGTGGTACTTGTGAAGTCATTAGCTGTAAATCGGCTATCGAATGTAGTACATTTATGCTCGGTGTCATCTATCGCAGCCCGATCTGCTTAGCTGATGACTTTATTTTAGAGCACATTCATCTTTGGAGTGCAAATACCAGATGCTTGATAATAGGAGACTTTAATGCACCTGATATTAGTTGGACTGAGATGACCACAGAAGAATCTATAAACTCCTTTGATAGTAGGTTCCTGGTAACAGTAATGGAGCATACACTAGTGCAGCATGTATCCGAACCCACACGTTTTGGTGTTAACCAGGGTTCTTCTCTGCTGGATTTGGTAATCACTCATGAGACTGAGGATATTGTCGACTTAAATATTCTTCCACCGTTAGTAAACAGCGATCACGCTGTTTTGTCATTCGCGTTTAGAACTAGGGACATGTTATACGATTGGGTTACACCGCGCCCAAATGTATGGAAAGCTAACATATCAGCCATTCAGGAATGCGCTGCTAAGACAGATTGGTTTGTAGATACTAGCATTTCAGTTGAAGAAGCATGGTCTGTATTTGAAGGTTAGTTTAGTTTAGTTCCGTCCCCGTTCACACCATACCTGGAACCGCGAAGACCAAATAACAGTCCACCATGGATAACTAAAACAGTCAGGAAACTTCTTAGAAAAAGGAAGAAGCACTGGAATGTGTTCATCTCTACTGGCTTAGAACAATACAGATCCAGTTATTGTAAGATTAAGAATGCCTGCAAAGCGTTAATAAGTAAGACTAGATGATCATATGAAAAACAATTGGTTAGAGATTCTAGATATAGTCCGAAACGGTTATTCTCGTATTTAAAAAGGTGAACTCAGAGAAGCGATGGAATCCCATCACTTTTGATGCAAGAAAACCCGTCAATCTTGGCAAAAGGTGATACCGAAAAAGTTGAAGCTTTATCGTGATATTTCAGTAAAGTGTTTTCTATCAGTAATGAGGAACGACCAAAGATTCATTGTGATCGCGGCGGCTCGCTGATGGACTCCATAGTCATTGAGAAAGGTGCTGTTTTAAGGCTACTTCAGGATCTCAAACCTGATAAGTTCAGTAGTCCTGATGATATTCATCCTAGGATTATGAAAGCCATGGCAGATGTAATTGCTGAACCATTAGCGATACTGTTTGACACGTCTCTGAGGCAGTCCAGACTGCCCAGAGATTGAGAAGACGCTATAATAAATCCGGTGTATAAGGCTGGGAGTAGGGATTTAGGTAGTAACTATAGACCTGTTAGCTTAACTAGTGCAGTTATAAAACTGACGGAGAAAATCATTCGGATATTTGTTATAAACTATGTGGAAGGACATAATCTTTTCTCCAGGGGACAATATGGTTTTCGGAGAGGCCTATCATTCTTGGCAAATCTCATTGCAAGAGAAGATTGGGCTGCTGCAAAAGATCGGAATATTCCTGTGAATGTGATCTTCATAGATCTAAGTAAGGCCTTCGATAAGGTCTCGCACTCTGGTCTTAAATTCAAACTAGAACGTTTTGGAATCCATTATACAGTCGTAGATTGGATAAGTAACTTTCTCCATGACAGGAGACAAAGGGTAACGGTAAATGGGGCTCTCACCTCGTGGGTATCTGTAAAAAGTGGAGTTCCTCAAGATACAATCCTCGGTCCTCTTTTTTTTACTTTATGTAAACGAATTACCAACTATAGGAAAATCATCCGTTCTACTCTTCGCCGATGACATAAAAATTTGGAGATCCATACACAGTATGTCGGATAGGATAGTATTGCAGAATGATCTTAGCTCATTGGTGGCATGGTTGGACAGGTGGTCGCTAAAAGTAAATCCTAATAAGTTTGGTGATGCAATTAAACAACTATGATGAATCGTATCACTATAAAATATGTGAATTCGCGCTACCCAAAGTAAGAAACTATGAAGATTTAGAAGTCATATTAAGCAGTGATCTCAAAACCACTAGTCACTGTAAGACTGCTGCTGCGAAAGGCTATAGGGTATTATGGTTTATTCGTGGGTCTTTCGAGTATTTAGATGATGAAATGTTTAGATTATTATACCCGGTTTATGTGCGACCACATTTAGAATATGGGATTCAAGCAGAGAGTCCTTGTTTCAAGTATGAAGCAGAGATGCTGGAAAGAGTCCAACGACGAGGTACTAAGATGGTACAAGGTCTATCTAGCCTATCTTATGAAGACAGACTGAGAAACCTTAAATTATTTCCGTTATCTTACCGTAGAGTACGGGATGATCTAATATTGGCTTATCGTATACTGAACAATGACCTCGGTATTAATATGTCTTATCATTTACTTCCGTTTAGGACTGATAATTTAAGAGGACATTCGAAGAAAGTTCAAAAACCGAGATCAAATCGTTTACGTCTGGAGTTTCGTTTCTCTCACCGAGTAGTGAATTACTGGAATTCTCTAACGGAACACGTAATATCAGCACCTTCTGTTAATATATTAAAAAAGGATATTGGACCTACACAGTATTACAAAGTGCAAGGATTAATATAGGTTGATAGACCTCCTAACCTTATTACTGAACGCTGAAGACTGACTACCTCAATAGTATCATGCAGAATGAGATTTTCCTTACTAACAAGAAAGACTTCAAGTACTATAACCATGAAAATTCAATTCAAAGACACAAAACCATGCGGTGTGTAGTTCGGTGCTTGATATTTACTTTGAGTAGAACCAAACTTTTACCAATAGTTAACGCGTGAATTATAGGAACATTAGAAATCTAAAGGTGATTAAACTCACAGGTCCCAAGCTAATGGCTGATCTATAGTAAGGAGGAGGAGAATCAGTATGTTTGGGGAGGCGATTAACGGACAACATATACCTGGGCTGAGAGCCATAATTCCTGATACTACTCCCCTGAACCTAAAATTATCTTAAAACACTAAAACTTCTTACCGATAGCTTGAAATCAGATTGTTTACTCATGTCGTCCATTATAGCATTTATAATAAATGCATTAAGCAAGGTGTTTCCAGAGGAGTGGAAATTCCATAACTCTGCATTTATATATGACAAAAGACAAGAATGTAATCCAGCTGAGACTAAATAAGCCAAAAAATTGAATGTCTTCAAATTACAACGAAATCGTAAATACTGTGTGGTTGCTTTGTGTTATTATTGACAATTTTTCAAAGTAGCATCAATCTGTTTATAATATTCGTATCTCAGTAATTTAGGTAACAAAATGTGAGTGGTCATAAAACTAAACATCCCGCCTTCGACAACCTTCAAAGCACCATAGGAACAGTAAAATTTTGAGATAGCAATGAATAAAATTCTGAAACTAACCGAAGGAGTACAAACCAGATGATTAGTATCTCGAAGTTTGACATAATCTGTAATATGCAGTTTATATGTTTCAATTTCACCAATGATCATGTTGGAAGTAGACCCATTCATTATTAGCTTATTTATCACACTCGAAAAGGACTAACGGAAAGGTTAATACGACTTCACTAGCAGTATCACCGACACTAAAGCGTTCTAAATATATCTTCAGACTCTTTTTGCTGACTTTTAGTTTGACTGGGTGTGGTATGTTCCATTACATAGGTGTTACGGACAACAGCGTTGTCAAGTCCGAGCTGCGATAAATAAATAGTTCTGCATGTCTTCGGCATTGATGCTGACCACGTTAGTTTTGCTGAACACACCTAGCCTAAGGCGCTTGGTCACACATCCTCGTCAGATCAGTAATGGATACTCCATACTAAGCATCTCTTACAACCGTTCACCAGCTTTGATCAAACGCTTCCCGATATATCTATGGCTTTCCAAATATATTTTCAAACCTCTTCGTTTCTGACTTCTAATAACGGTGTTGCGTGTGAAGTTGTTGTCAAAATCCGAATACTTGCGGTATATTTGAGATAATAATCAATGCTGATATTGACACTATATTTGGTTTAAACCATCACTATCATTACTATTATTATCATTCGCATCACCAACGTAGAACACTGATGTCTAGTGGTTGTGACCCTACTCGAGTCAGGCGGGATTGGTGTAACCAACAGTTCACAATCAACACACTACTTGGATTGCCCATTCGTCGTATAAAGGTACTAAGTCTGTTTTGAAGGCGTAGTCACGAGAATATATTAGTAAGAATGGGTGTGGAGACGATACTGCGATCGCCACCGCACGGGACGGTCCACGTCATACGATTAACCGATGAGCGTCGGTCGTCCGTAACATTGAGGGGGATCGATAAACTGTGAACCAACTTCCGGATGATTTGGCTGGAGCTCAGTGACATTTCACTGGTTCGACACAACTTACTGGTACATAAGCGTTCATACGAAACCATTCTGAGTTTTCTTAGAAACAGTAAGATACAGTAGGATTTAATTGCAGAATAAAAGTTTATGCAGTAATAGTCCAGTATGATTCGGTGAAAGTCCTAAGTAGTTGCACATAATAATCGTGGAATATCAATTTTCATGGATCATATATAGGGGGTGTAGAGAGAGTAAATCTGGACATTCAATTTAATTACAATACAAGGTGTTCCTATTCGTAAACTTTGGATGGCCATGTATAAAATTTCTTAAGAAGAAAGAGAGAAAAATCGGGAAGTTATGGAGAAAATAAAATCTTATGTGCCAGGGGATCAATCATGATAATAATAAGAGTATAAACATAAGCAGACTTTGGATACGTTTTTGAATAAATCAAAAGGTTAATTTTAAAGTTGGTCAACGACTTCACCGGTGTTCTGTACGTATGAGTTGATTTCCAAAAGCACTTCATTTCTTCCAGAACTATCGCTGGTGATTTGCAACGTGCTCACTGCATGCTGATCGAAACTTGTAAGAGAAGAGGAGGTGATTGCTACTTAACACCATGTTGATGAGTTACGATTTTCCATTTTCTGCCCGGCTATCAGGTGCTCAAACAAGTGAGTTGCCGTCAAGTAAGAAATAACGAAGTATCTACTTCAAAAGCAATGATGAAAATCAGTCAGTCCTGAAGAACTGCTCCACTGCCTGTATAAAATAACAAGGTGTAAAAGGGAAATACACAAATACAATTGATAATTGTCCGGTTTCAGGTAAATGTTTGTCTTCCAGAACGGATTTGCCATCAGGAAGGAAAAAGACACGGTGTAGACATCTTGTGCACGAATCGTATTAAAAGGAAAAATGTGTATGTGTGAAGTTATCAGAGGTCCGACTCCTCACCAATCTTGATCAAATATATGACCTTGAGTCTATGATGACCACTTTTTATAACCGGGTTCGTAGCCGCGGCTGAACAAGAGTACTTCCGATCCAAAAGAGCAGAATATACAGTTAGGGAGAAAAAGAAAATTACAGAAATTACGGGGATTGAATGGATTTTTTTATGTCGGCGACGTAATCGGAGTCCTACAGATAAACCTTTTGATGGTTTGATGTAGGTATGCATGCTATATCGATGCTATATCTCCTCAATTCACCTTGGTAACGAGTTTGAAGATGCCACAAGTACTCGCAGTGGGACAACATCTTAACCAGTTACACCTTCTATAATTGAAACGTGCCAACCCAATGAAGTCAGAAGTCAGAAACAAAGAGGTTCTAAGATGTATTTCAGTTTTCAACGGTAAAGTTTGTAGTTTGGTGGACCTGTGTTAATATTGACGGTTTGCCTTCCAATTAAGGTCCACCTTCTCCTTGAACATGTTTACTGAATCGGCTGATGCCACTTGTTCGGGTAAGGCCTTTAAGTCATTGACGATGAGATGAGAAAAAAGGTACACCACATTAAGTTTATTAGAACGTAGTTTGTGAGTGTTCTTGCTATGACCTCGGAGATTATTAGTGCCGGAGGGAGCAAAAAGATGAAACATATTAATACTCAAATCGCAGTTAATGATGCGAATTTCCAGTGTAAGGTCACCTCGTGTCCTACGATACGACAAGTTGATAAGCTATCCATATATCGGGAAGTGACCAATCTAATCTGACTCGCTATTGTAGGAGAAGTTGGGCACAACGTACCCACTCGTGATCTGTTGCGTATGCCTAACCGAGCCCCTTCAGCTAGATGAGTCCATTAAAACTAATGTGGTCGGAATCAAATGTCGAAGACTTACAAAGCTATTGCTTTTGCGGATTTATTTACCTCTACAGATCACTCCCCCTTCTAGTGGGGTGGTGATGGCCCTAAGATGTGAACAGACAGAAGTTTAAACTCAATGAGTTTGTCGTTGGTGAACACTCTCCTGATAGGTTGCAATGTTCAGCAGCGTCTGGTCTTCTTCTTTTACTATAAAAAGACATTGAGTACAACGCAGTAATGAAGAGCCATTCCATCCGACTGAATCGAAATAAATCTTTTCGCCCTCTCCATCGTTGACCTTCTCTTTATGTCAGTTGCTGAATATAAGTCTTTGCAGTAATTATATGCTCGGCTTCAAAGTTCGTGTGGTTAGGGTGCAATACCACTACAATACTCTCCCGCCAGAATCAACGTGACATTGGTTGGATACCAAGTTGTATAGGTCTGTCGCGCGCCGGAGGTTACCGAGAACAATAAGAATCCCCCGGTATTGACAAGCAGAAAGAAAAGTCAAAAAGAAGGCGTCAGTAATTGATGGGGAAATAGGTGTATCAATTTCAAATGCTTGATTTAATTCTTAACACTCGCAAAATGAAAACCTACGTGAAGATTATTCAGGGGTTAAAAAACAGATTACAATATTCAGGTACGATTTCGTGTAGAGATATTTTAATAAGTCGCAGTAAGATGCGTAGCAATAGCCAATAGTTAATAGCTTAACTTATAGGTAATACACATAAGTTGTTCTTAGAAATTCAAAAATAATCAATATTGTGGAAGTGTTGCTAGTGGTATTATTCTCATTTGAAATTATAAAGTTAGTTTACGTTTGTTTTGGCATGCTGTGCCTATGAGTTGAATTCTAACTACATCTGCATTAGTAGGCTAACTGAAAGAACAAAAGCATTACCATGGAGAGGAAGAATTCCAACTAGTGTTGCAGTTAGTTTGTCAAGTTTAATACGGTTTATTTAGTCGCAGGGAGACTTTTCTTGACCTCATTATTATTTGACTGTGATATGATTTAATAAAACTGCTAATACATATGAATGGTCACCAAAAATTCTTTAACGTAAAAATGTTGATAATTATGTGCATTTTGGCAGATGACTAAGAGCAATTCGTTGAACATGAATGTATTCGTGAGAGACATGTTCTGGACTCTATGTTCAGACTTGCAATGGTGTATACAAGTTAGTTGCAAGTATCGAGTTCCGCATAAGGCAGAAAATGACTTATTTGAAATTGAGTGATTATAAGCCGTTGAAATTGGAGATGCCACAGGTATTCGGAGTTCGACAACGCTTTAAATAGTAACACCTTCTAATATGAATCATACCCACCAAGTGAAATCAAAAGACAGAAGTGAGGAGTTTCGAAGATATATTTGACAGACTATCAATATATCGAGGAACGTCTGATCTAATCTGGCTAGCGATTGCGAGGGTTGTTGAGCACGGCGTTCCCACTCGTGATCTGGTGCGGATGCATGACCGAGCGCCCTTAGGTAGGTGAGTCCACTAAAACTAGTGTGGTCAGCATCCATTGTCGAAAACTTACAGAGCTATTTATTTTGGGGATTTATTTACCGCTACAAAATTAACACAACAAATGTGCCATAAATGTTTGACATGATGCTGTGCGACACTTCCGGCTAAATAAATTTCTACAAGCTGATAGTCAATGAGTGATGACTATGTGATTATCAGGAAAAACATAAGTTGTAGCCAAGCGGACTACAACTCCCGACTAACGTCTATGATAATCGTTTGATCCTTGGTCAGTATTGGTGTTTTCAGGTGATTTGCTCTACTGTTTACACTGGTGATTTACATGCGTGGTTTTATCGCTAAACCTCCAACCAGACTGACAAGGTTTTAAGGTATTTGCCGAATGAGCGACAAGCTAAAATCCTCCGTAATGGATAAAGATAACGAGGAAGCAACACTACTTTATGATAATTGAAAGCAAATTTGTTGACTGATTTTGTCAATAGTTTCATCAACTCTATCAATCATATCATGTGATTGTCAAGTCATGACAATTCTTCATGACTAAGTCCAGAAACCATTATGTTTAACAAGTTGTAGAGTTGATTGGGAATTAGCAAGTGGATAATATATATTGTTGTTTTAGGTGATTCTGGAATAGCAGAAGTTTGTAGCGTTGCCACACCCGAGGTGCGTGATTACATTAAATAGTGCAATTCAAAATTATCCATCTACATATTGTTAATTTTAAGAGTGGGCTCAGGATTTTTTATTTCAAATGCTGGTTTAGTCGACAACTGCCTGGTTGGTTAGTTATTATTGAAGATGGCACAGGTATACAGTGTTTGATAACGCTTTTACCAGTAACATCTAATATAACTCGTACCCACCAAAAGAAATCAAAAGACAGAATCGAGGAGATCAGGAGTTGTATTTGACGATTGCCAATATGTCGGAAGTGTCTGATCTAGTCTGGCTAACGATTGCAGTAGGTGTTGAGAATGGCGTTCCCACACGTGATCTGATGCGGATGCATGACCGAGCGCCTTCAGCTAGGTGAGTCCATTAAAACATGTGGTCAGCATCCAATGTCGAAAACTTACAGGGCTATTTATTTTGGGGAATTATTTACCGCTACATTATACTGGTGTAATAGTGCAGTAGTGAGGTAATCTTATTATCTGAACCACGTTACAAGTATTTTTAAGGCAACTAAAGTGATATCCCAATTTCTAAATGCAAATACACATAGCAATAACGACTATAATGGATTTCGTTGAATATGTTGAAGACAGTTCAAATAATTGCTAAATTCAAATAGGATAGAGTTATGATACAATGCATGTATAGGTTAGGTTAACGTGCGCATTTATATGAAATACAAAATTAGAAAAATAAACTTGGCGAAAATTTCTTTTAAATTTCAGACATAAGGAATTACAGTTAAAAGACGGGTATAATATAGAATTTCATAAATGGTTGCCGTAGCTATCCTTGTAAATTCATGAATATGTAGCAGCGATGGTTAGAACTAAAAAGTATCAAATTAATATTCAGTCTAATGCAGTTCTTCTGAAAACGACACACTCATAATGGTATGTCATTTAAAGTTATGAAATATATCTTCTGTCGAAAACAGTTTGGGAAGTGGTTCATATAAAATATATACGGCTAGTCCAAGTGAAAATGCATATATGTTAATAAGTACCAAATAACATGTCAAACCCTCCTGGATTAGTTTTGGGATTTAGATTATTCATTAGATTTGACATATATAAGGCTATTTATAGCTAGTGGTAAAACGCAGTGTTGCATCTAATTTCAGTATGCTTGATGCTGTTGACCTTTCTTTCATTTGCTCGACTTAGAACAAATGAAGGAGCCCAGATAATTATATGGCCGTCACTGTATGAACCATCTAAATTGACCATATTATTGCAGAAAATTTATTGTTTAAACTCACCGTATGTTTCTGGAGTATTGTCTTCGTTGTTTGGCAACGGAACGTGTGTACTGCATGATAAGACAGGTTTAACGAAAACATCAGTTGATTGAGGTCGAGTGAAAACACGTTTACCTGAACGCATGGCATTTGTAAATCTGCAATTGTAAGGGTTTAGATCCGTATTCGTTGAAAAAGGTGAAGGATCCACGAATTCCCCCTGGATGTCTGAGTTTCGTTGCGTAAACAAATCGTACCGTAATGTATCCAACGTCAATTTTCATTGCATTGCAAACACCGAGTGACACGAGTGGGAGAGCGTCGGTCTACTGTAAAACGTTTGCAGTTGAGTAAATCATTTAACTGACAGTGAAATCATTCCACCAACTTGTTAGCTTGTAGGTTGCAGGCGGTCGTTCGGAATCGGGTGATTCCTAATAGTGTACTAAGACAACGGAAAAGTCCAGACTCGAAATGAGGATTTACTTACCGCTACAGGCGTCACGTCTAGGCATAGTTGAAAAGCTCAGATTTCTGGAACTTCTTGCCCAAAGACTCCAAAACCAACATAGCCAGAAGTTGTTTTCCGGAAGCTTTCCGTCAAAGTCTTCTTCAGGAATGCGAGTTCTTCGTTAATGCATTCCGTACTGCATATGTGATGTATGCGATGGCATAAAGAATGGATAAGGTTTCTCTTCCTACTTAACGGAACCCAGCTATAGAAGTTGGTTAGCTGGCCATTCCATGTTTGCTTTCTAAAGATGGATCTTTTTAAAGAACCATTACTCGTTCTCATCAGACGTACATCGAGGATGGTGAGATGTGAACGTGTGCTTGGGTAAAAAAATCGGTGCTATGTATGGAATTTAGGCTGACTAGTTGTCGCAAGAGACTCACAGCACGGCGTGCGCAAACGTGGTCTGGTGTAGATGTTTGAACAAGCACCTCCAGCTACGGGTGTGTTCAATGAGACTAACATTGTCAATATCAATGTCGAAAACCTACAAAGTCATTTGTCTTCGGAATTTACTTACTACTGAGGAGGAATGTATCAAAAACCGTACCTCTCTGTAACTAAAATCAAGGAGGAAACAGTTCCCTTATTCTGTCTGGAAAAGTTGAAGTCAAAGTCAGCATCAATGTCGAATGCTTGTAAGGCTATATGTTGAAGGTAGTTATATGTTACTATGGGTCATCTATTCTACTTTTGCTTTTGAAAACGATACTCGGGATGCAAGTATTCTATATACAAAGCCATGGGTAGGCAGAATTGAGAATAAGGTGAGGGAGAGTAATCCTGTTTACAAGCAACCCATATGGCGTTCGAAGATAGAAACTAACGTTGGTCGGATATGCTGACAACATTAATGTGTTAATTTGACGTCATCAGGTTTAAAAATTTACCTACTTTCCGGTATCATGTATGATGTAAGGTCCATAAATTTATTTATATACTACCTTTTCGTATAGAGAATGTAGTAGTTTTGTTTGTTTCGACTGTGCTCAGTGCACATCTGATATCCTCCTGTTGCCTTGTCGGCTTTGGCGGGCAAGGGGTTTGTCTTTCATTGATAGTTCTTAAGAATGGTATGCCGCTAGTTAGTTTGATTTGGTGACTATAATTAATTTGTAACACGACGTCGTTTGTGCGCCAAGAATTATAGACATAATGTAACCAGGTTTCACAACTTGGTTATATATAATTAACCGTTCGTAAACCAGATATAAATGTTGATTTAACTTAATCAGTATCTTTTTAATTGTACCCCAGACTTTTAGTTTGTTACTTAAGTTCTATCAGCACTTATTAATACGTAGCCCAGTACTGGGCGATTTAGCTAGGATCTTCGTGGGCAAATAACCTTTCTAAATTAAAATATGGAGATATCAGTACATCTCTTGGTACATTAAAAGTAATACAATACAGTTAATGTGGTCTCAATAAGTTTCACCCATGTGATATAGAATAATCTTACGGATTGGGCTTAGTGGATCGTAATAAACGTGTTTGGATTACAACCTTTAGTAAATTCTGAAAATTGGTGTCTTGTGTGCAACCCGTTTAGTCAAACTTAAGTAATAGCTTATGGATAGTCTTCCTAGAGTTTATACCCTGGGCCTACTTCAGTGCACGTTTGAACGGAAAGCTAGAGGTACCAATGTTATAAGTTAACAAAGGGTCGTCTTAACCGAAAGAATGAAGACATGAATCTAGTTACCTTTGTATTTCAGGTCAGTGCTTCTACCTGAACTTGCTGGTACAAAATAAGTAATACTTTATCTGGTTGTAGGTATCATTACCAAGGTTTGACTTGGTAATTTCGAATAAATTGAGCGTTGAGTAGATTGTTATAAATGCATAATATATTTGTAGTATCCCAATGAGTAGAAAAATTATATTTTCTAGCGTTTCGTGACTTAGTGTAAGCCACTTCAGAGGATGAATAACCAAACTGAAAGTAATCCAAGTTTATTTCATGTGTTTATTTTTTCTACCAAGTAAATAACTGGTAGTAGTCCTCACTTTTACTCAAGTGGTATTCAGTTTATAAACATGTTTTCGAAAATCAGTTACCTATTTGTTTAGTAAAAGCAATTTAATTCAAACTAGTCATATCCTAGCGATATACTATTTTTCCGTTTGGTTATCTTCTGCAGTATACTAACTTATCCCCGTAATTTATTAGTTGATACGTGATACTGTGCTTAATAGTATTTTGCTGAACTAAACTTAGATCACCATGTTACATACTGTCATCTAGATAACCGGGTATACATAATCAGTTATATGTGCTAATAATGTTAATTTTTTGTGTTTTATGGGCTTCTAGTAATCTTTATTATTACTTTTATTAAGTGCTTAGTTTCAAAGTATTCGAGTCAGGTTTTAGTGACCAACTTGTCTTAAATCAAAGTTTTCAGTTCGACAAAAGTGCGCGCTACCATCTCAACAGTGATGTGCTTGCTTGGTGTTGCTTCTGGTTTGTTAGGAAGTAGAAGTGCTCACTTTGTTCTGCGAGATCAAGATTGACACAGTCGAATTCGTGTACTTAGCTACGAGCCACACTGTGAGGCCTAGTGAATGTCCAGTTGTCCAAACCAAGATAGGAGCAACAGGATCCGAACACCTGGATATTACAAGTAGTGCAACATATTCAAGACGTGACGGTATTAGTTCGAGATAGTTAAACGATTTTTATTTCTGAATGAATTAGTAGTAAATTGTCCTCACCTGTTCTTATTTAAGCTGGGTCTTCGGAGTTATCAGTGACAACACTGATGGACATTGTAGTCCTTTCATTAAAGTTAATGTAGTTCAACAAGGTTGACCCCGTAAAAGCGGTTCGAAAACTTATCTGTGGCAAGGCACCTAGAGTGCATGTTCAGACTCTGACCATGCCCTAATACCAGCACGCATTTGCCTGCGCCTCACTGGACGCAGAAAAACCATATTAGGGTGACCCATTAGAGTTGAATCCAATGACGAGAAAGCTAAAAGTAGATCCCAGGAACAACTGAGGTCACACTTAGGTAGTTCTGAAATCAAGGCTGACCCAGATGTTTCTTGGAAAGACATAAAATCAGCTATGGAAAGTAGTGACATTTATTAGTGATTTAAACCAAAGGGTCACGAAAAACCAGTTGATTTTTAATAAGTCTATTGCACTGATAGGTTCTCGTAAATTTATCCTAACACTATGAAGAACGAAAACAAATTAGATCCAGGTTAACCAAAAGTCTAAGGAACGACCGTAAGCAGTGGTGGGAAATGAAAGCAAGATATGGAAAAGGCAGCGGCTGTAGGTAACACCAGACAGCTTTTCAGACTAATAAAAGAAAATAGAATTAAAAAATGAAGTGTGAGACGATCTCGGAAAAATACGACACTCTTATCTGCTCTCAGCCCAGATGTTTAGAACGATGGACGGAACACTAAGGAGCAATTCAGCTACTCTACAACTACCCACCATTCCCAAACAGCCTGGATGGAGCATTGAATTGTCCCTCCGACTCTAGTTGAAGTCCAAAAAGCTAAAGCTAATCTGAAACGAGGAAGAGCAGCTGGTGCAAGTGGATTGGTTTCAGAGGTCTTTAAGTATGGTGGCCCATTTTTAGCTATTAGGTTGACTAATATTATAGTTAAAATCTGGAAGTTGGACGTAATTCCATCTTGATTAGTCGCAATCACCGATTGTCCCAATATATAAAAAGGGGTCAAAATCATCCTGCGATAACCATAAAGGGATTAGTTTGACTAATATAGCATCTAAAATAATAGGCTCAATAATTATCGGGCCCCTAAGACTCATGAACTGCAAACACAAAAAAATCAGACTGGTTTCAGACCTAATCGTGGCTGCATCGACCAAACATTTACCACTCGTCAGGTTTTAGAACACAGGCATGCTTATTGGCGTCCGACAATGATAGTTTCTTTTGACTTAGATGCAGCATTTGGCTCTAGACCGAGAGGTTCTGTGTCAGTGTCTGTCATTGAAAGGTGTACTACAGAAGTACATAAACCTTGTGAAGGCTCTTTACTCGAGTCAGAGCTTATGGGGAGCTGTCGTCTGATTTTGTAACCTCAAGGGGGTTTACGATTTGTGAAAATGGTGCGTTCCTGGCCTTCAGATACCGCTTACTACATTACACAGCTAACAGTTCTACGCCTCGATTCAGTATCTCGCAACACTCCAGAGAAGAATCCAGATTATATATCCATTGTAAGATCACCGATTGTTGAGTCGGATGTGTCTGCATATATTCTTATAGTTGCTTGGATATCATGGCAGGCAGGCATAGTTGACTTGGCGATTTTTTTAAACATAGATGAATGCTTTTCTTGTACCGCTATGTAGTTTGATTGTTCTTGACTCTCAAAATTGGTTTGTTAATAAGCTCATAAAAGACGCGGTTGGGTATAAATCTACGTTAGAGATCTGCCAATATGTTGAATGTTTACAGTTCACTGATAGTCGTCGGTTATGGGTAATCCAGAATAGATCCTTTTTTTCCAACAAACAAATGCCTTTATTGTCAGTGGTATACTAGGAAAATCTAATGAAGTGTACCGAATTTGGCAACTCTGAATGTTTACAGTGATGCCCTGGTGTTATAATCATTGAAAAACAAGATTTAGATGTAGATGGGATTGTCTGTGCTTCCTATCAGATAGTCAGCAGTATATATATATGCAAAGTCATGAACGATAAGCACACATAAAATTGCAATTTTAAAACATTTTATTTGTAGAAATCACTGCGTATGGGAATGCATTAGAGCATAAATTTATTTCATTCCATAATGTTCGTTATTCTTGCCTTACAAAATAAAAATATGTTTGGACAACATATTTCCAACAGAATAACCACCACCGAAAAATTAGTGATTATTTAAAATCATTTAAAATTCACCGAATAACTTGTTTGGAATATGTATAACGTATCTTTAATCAACTATACACAATGTTAGACGATGTAAAAGTACGTAAGTCAGAAGAGAGCCGGAGGGAGCATTAATCCGAGACGTCAATAAATGTTGAAGTGAGCCATATGTGTAGGTACAGACTACCGGTTTGGGGACCTTGCGATTACCGTAACCATTGGTTGGCTACATTCTTCAGAATAGGTCACAAAAAGACATTCACATTTTGTCTGCATCTAAATCTTGAGCGAAGTAACAAATCATTTCATGCATTTGGTCCTCTCTACGAATTTGAATAAAGCCAAAATAACACGAGGCGGAGTAATATGAATACATTATACTTCTTGGTTTCTCAAGAGCTGCTTACAACCATGTAGATATTAAAATGTAACAGTGAGGTCACATGTAATGTGAAGTAATTGAAATGGGTGACGGAAAGAATTATAATAACAAGCGTTATCAGTAGTAACTATACATATATCTGTGTAAAACAGCCATGAGATCATTTGCAGATGGAATTCAGAATTATAGGAGGGGTGTGAGGCAGTAATTAAATGTAGTTAGGAAACATAACAGGGATTTACGTAAGATTCAATCCATTTGAAAAAAGATTTGGAGCAATGAGGTTATAATTATTTGGAATTAGAAATCGAAGGGTCACGTAATAATTAAACAAGATTTGGAAAGTTGGCGTAGCAGGTCATTGAAGATGGATAAGTACTCATATATCAGCCGAAGTCATCTGGATATTTTTTGATTACTGTCACTCGAAGTAAGTTTATGGGTGGTTCTTTTACTTTTGACGAGTGATTTAAAGTATCGCTATTGCGATATTTACGTCGAACTATCAAGTATTTTTCATGCAACCCACGTTGAACAGTGTTCTGTTTGACTCGACATTTCTAGGTCTTGTTTTAACATTATTTGAGATCCGAAGTCAACCGTCTCCATTGTCAGTCAGTCTATTTTCAGTATGTATATCCTTATGTAGAAATTCCTGTTAGCTAGTGAACCTTTTTTATATTGCATTGTCTTTACAGAATAACGAAACATCAGAGCTGGAAAATAAACCTGAGAACAAAAACATGTGCAAACGTGGTTGTGGCTTCTATGGAAGTGTTCGATTCAAAGATATGTGTTCCAAATGTTATCAGGAGCATATTAAATGTAGTTCTACCTTGGAGCAAGCTACACTTGTTCATTCCACTTCAATTGATATGCCAGACAATCGAAAGTCACAGCTCTTAGATTGCTGTGAACACTCTCCCAAAGATTCCACTTCAAATCAGTCAGACCCTACAACATCTTCCCAATTATCTCGTGCGCTTAAACGAAAGGCAAATCCCTCAGTCTCTGCAGAAACTTCCAAAGGTATGGTATTTAAAATATGCTATGGTCCGATCATTTGTTTTTTTACTTTGTTCACGTGTGACTTAGACTTGATGACAGCCGCGTTGATGCACTCGATCTTTGTCTTCTATATCATGATTTTCAAAACTACTTCATACTTTTTCTGCGAATCCTTTCTTCTTTAATCATCCTTTGTCTGATATTTTGTCACTGTACAAGACTGCCGCTCCTTTTGGAGTACCTATCTGGACTCTGACCATGCCTTGGTCTGCGCCAATCTTATCTTACTTTTCAGTGGACAACGAAGTGACCGCCAACAACAGATTGATGTTAGCAAGCTGGTTGCAACTTCTGTTGCAAGTAAGTATCGAACCGGGCTAGTTTCTAGGCTAGCTACCATTCCACCGAAAAGTATAGATGAGCATTGGTCGCAATTGCATGACGCCATGAAAATGGCGTGCTAATGAGCTGGAAGCAGCAGCTGCATCTGGTAGCTGCCGGAAGCTCTTCCAACTCATCCGAGTCACTGGCAGCAAGAAGTCTCGTGTGAGTGAAACAATCCGCGAGGATGACGGGATGCCAATCACTAACATCCATCGACGTCTTGGACGATGGGTAGAATTTTTCGAAGGGCAGTTCAACTGACCTGCTGCTTCGGCAACATCGGTCAGACTGTCCTGCCCTCCATGGCCGGTGACGACTGATCCACCAAATGAGGCGGAAGTCTGCAAGGAACTCCGATTCTTGGAGCGTTACAAATCACCTGGCCTAGATGGATTACCTTCGGCTCTTTTTAAAGATGGTGGTGACTTTCTGACTAAGGAATTGACGACGTTGTTTACAAAGGTTTGGGAACTAGAGAGTGTACCAACGTCATGGAATGAGTCGATAGTTGTCCCTATCTTTAAAAAGGGTTCACGCCGTTCCTGTAACAACTATCGGGGGATAAGTCTACTTCCGATTGCGTCCAAGTTATTGGCTTCCGTCATACTTCGTAGGTTGTTCAAAACCCGAGAAAGATTGACTCGCGAGGAGCAGACTGGGTTTCGTTCTGGTCGAGGATGTATTGATCATATCTTCACCCTCCGCCAAATGTTAGAACACCGCCATACTTATCAAAGGCCAACAATCGTAGTGTTTCTTGACATCAGGGCTGCCTTCGATTCGTTCAATAGGACTGTTCTCTGGGATTGTCTATTGAAGAAGGGTGTGCCTGAAAAGTTTATTAACATCCTAAAAGCCCTATATACAAACACCTCAGGCAGAGTGAGGGCATACAACCACCTCTCTCCACTGTTCCATTCAAGCAGTGGGGTTGCTCAATCTCACCATTGCTCTTCAACTTTGCCATTGATGACGTTCTGGGAATAGCTCTGACGGATGTAGGTAATGATGGTGCACATCTGTTGCCTGGAGAAAGACGTTTCAACATTGAGTATGCGGATGATACTATTTTACTGTGTGACGATACTCAAGTCATGCAATCCGCACTAAATCAGTTGGCAATCAGTATCCGTAGGTAAGGTATGTGCTTTGCACCTTCGAAATGCAAAGTACTTTCACAAAACTGGCAGGACCATAATCCTGCACTCACCCTGGGTAGTTAGCGGATACAAGTAGTTAAGAAGTTCGTGTATCTAATTAGCTGCGTAAGTGCTGTTGATAGTTTGAATGATGAGATAAATTCACGTATAATGAAAGCCAGAGAAGTTTATGCCAATCTGGGCCACCTTTGGCGCCTTAGTGATGTTAGTCCGGCTGTAAAAGGTCGGATCTACAACGCGTCGGTAAGAGCAGTTTTGTTCTATGCTTGTGAAACCTGGCCTCTCCAAGTTGATGATGTTAGACGACTGTGTGTCTGGTCATCGTTGTCTCCGAAGGATTGCTGACATCCAGTGGCAACATCATGTCAGTAATGCAGAGGTTCGGCATCGTGTGTTCGGGCACAGAGATGATAATTCAATTGGTGTCACCATCTTGAAACACCGACGTCGGTGGCTTGGACATGTTCTCCGAATGTCGTCCCAGAGAATTCCACGTCGTGCATTATTTGCCGACTCTGGGACTGGTTGGAAGAAGCGGAGAGGTGGTCAGTGCATGACATGGTGTTATGGCATGAAAGAAAGCTGCAAAGGACTGGCTTGTGTTGGTCCTTCACGACTCCTTGGTTGGGGTCCGAGAGATGGTGCTACACAGTGGCTAGAGACGTTATCAGATATGGCTCAGAATAGAAGCCAGTGGCGATCCTGCTGTAACCTCCTTTTACTTTCTTCATTTAAAGTGGTTGTGTCTCCCTTACCTGAAAGATTTCCTCCGATTGTACCTTTCCGTTCCCTCATTACTACCCCACTACCTTACAATCTCTTCGTTATTGTTCTCTTTTTTTACGCTCCTTACCTTTTTATTTTATTTTCTCCTCGAATTCTCATCGTTTTGTGTGGCGCATATATATTGGCGCTCTCTTGTACCAATATTTATGTGTTCAAATAAAAAATAAAAATAAATTTTGTCACGAATACTATTAATACTCTGATATTCAGCTTGATAAATTCCATCTTATGTTGATATGTTGTGGCGACTTGAGGCGATGGTCGTTTGTGCTGAGTTCTTACATTGCTTGTGATTGATTGGTCATTTTATTCAAAACCGTCTTCAGTTATGTCCCTGCTTTTATTTTGGTATCATTATTGGTATTATAAATTTATAACGTTTACTTTCAATGTTATTGTGCTTATATGAATGCAGGTAGCTTGTAGCTTCATAAATATGTGTGATACTGTACATTGTGTATATTTAATTATCATTCTGTGTTTCCCTACATTGGTTGGTAGAGTCCACGCAGTGGTTTAGTGATTGGATCATCCTCGATTGAACCGTTTTGTCACAGCTTTAGTTTGTGCAATCGGATAATATCAACCCTCAGTTAAAAGTGTGACCCAAGACCGAATACATTAGTTCGTAATTAGCAAATGGGTTGCGTATTATTTCTACGGTTTTTTTCAAGCTGGACGATAGCCGTTCGCCACTGATAAGGTAGTGGTATGTGTATTGTCAGATTGTTTATTGACCACTGACAAGATTTGTCCGCTTTTTGTGATGTGACTATTTTTTTATATTATTTCAGCCGACTCGTCAGCTTCCCGTCCCGTTCTTGGCGTCAATCGTTGCACTTGGTGTCGCAAGCGTGTTGGACTGACAGGTTAGTGAGCATTCTTTACACTGTTAGATAACGTGTAAAGTGAAATGTCCCACTTATTACTAGTTTCAAAACGCCCTCCCACAATTCTAGACAGTTTACGTAACATCCCTCGACACATCAATTTACTTTATAGATACACGCATATTTCTCACTTTATTCTTCTGCGTTTTTTCTAAAATAGATAGTCTAGTATGGTATGAGTTTCGATCGTCTATTAATTCATTTAATAAAGTTGAACTACAGTTTTATTCAGCTGGACAGCTCAGTTTTTCAGTTTTTTTGCGTTGACTAGTCAGTCATAGTCATGGATACCACAAATGTGTATCACTCTAACTTGTCAGTAAAGAATAATCGATAGTGAGAAAAGAAGACCTAAGTTGAAAGTCAGTGAGTAAATAGCAAAGGGGTCAAATATGTAGATTGTCATTTCCCGGTTACCAAAACCGTAGGGGAACATTTATTGAATGGGTAAAAGAACGAACAGTGTTAATGTCGGTTTTATCGACCTGGAAACATGATCACAATGCCCAATGTATATCAACAAAGTCGACGTTTCTAACCCCTCCTTCACTCTGGTAAAAAATATCTCTGCGAATACCAGTTATTCGCAGAAAATGCCACCACAGTGGTATTAGCAGTACTTTTTTCTCCTATTGGACCCCCATTAATCTCAACCATAACATCCTCCAGCTGACCTGTGAGATTTTAGTTGACAATTATTTTAGCCTCGTAAGGTCAATTGGATTAGCGCATTAGAATGACTTGACTCCATCTGAATAGTAGCTACAGTTATGTGATTATTGATACTCATCAAGACCATTATTCAACTATGTAACTTAAAGACAGTTGGTATCTAAAGAACCGTATGTTTATTTAGATTCAAAACATTTTTGCAATAAATGTATGTGAGCCAAAACACTCAGGCCTTCCTGAGGACTTCTTTCTATTCGTTTGATTTTAAATTTGTAGGCACTCTCCGAAGTATCGTCTTTTATTGGTTAATTTATACATACAGTTAGGAGTTATCGCGTCTTTCTTGATTTGTTTTGGGCTGATGTAGGTTTCGCTTGCCGCTGCGATGGACTGTTCTGCTCATTACATAGATATTCCGATCAGCACGAGTGTGCTTATGATTATCAAGCAAATGGTCGTCTTGAACTAGCTCGCGCCAATCCAGAAGTACGTTGTCCCAAAATTCGAAAACTGTGAGATCACGGACAGGATTCCGGATCTTCTAAACCTTTGATATATTCCTCTCATTTTCATTACGCCTTTCACGACAAAATCAATATTAAGACGATATCAGCTCCTACTACAACACAACTTGTTTTCTTTTTTCATATTTATTCAATGCCTTTGATTTTGATTTTCTTCGCACACCGATGGTCTTTACAAAGTTTATCATAAATCTTTTTGTGAATATTAATACACTAACAAATCATATTTGTCAATGAATTCTAATCCATCTCTATGGCATTTGTTGCTTCATCTTTTATTGTGATTATATTATTACCATCTACTCCTACCTATGGGATTTTTCTCACGTTGGGATTCCAATGTATTTTCATTTTATGGAACATGTTGCATTATAGATTTTCCAAAACCACGCCTCTTTAGACTAACACAACTATATATTGTATATCATGATTATCGGCGTAAAAGTGTGAAGTAAAAAGGAATTCTCTATTCTTATCCAAATAATATTTGTTGCTTTTATTCTCGAGTGCATACATGCTTACGCGAGAATTCTGTAAGTTCTACATCAGCAATGTTTATTATCAAGACATAATTTTGGTTGGTTATGTCTAAAGTGTAGATTGAGTAGTAGTAATCTTTAACATTAATTTTTTGGTTTGCAAAAGTACTTGTCTTATCATAACATCAAAATGACTTATACGTTATATACATTTATAAATATTGATTAAAAACGGGGTTTCTCATACATACGACGAGGCCCTTTTTAGTTCGTATTTCATTCATATAACTTGTACAATATATGTGTGGACAAGTGTCAACAAAGAATTTTTCAACCTCATGACATCCAAGCGGTGTTTGTGTCTATATATTGTGTATGCGTGTGCTATGTAAGCTTGTTGATGTAATGGTCACGAATAGTGATTGATTTAGTTGGAGTAATTTAATTTTCCCTTTTTTGTTCTTTCATTACCTCTATACACATATTTGTATCCAGTTTTATTGTATTTATCTTTCTATTGTATCATTATTATTACTATTATTCTTAGTTGCTGGGTTCAAGACCCATGTGTAACTGTATGTTTACAGGATTTCAGTACCATTACCTATAATTTCTTATTTTTATTTCTCTTATTGTTCTGTTTTGTCAGTCAGTCATCAACATAGAACCTAGTAAAAATGTGCGTTGGTGTAAATTAACATACTTCATTAGCACGACGAAATGAAATTAACAAGATGTGTGGCAAAAGAGATCAGAATAATATAGCAGCGGTGGCAATGTAAAGTATTAAACATTAAGAATAAGTTTTAGGATAAGCAGATTAGAAAGGTACATATGAAGAAATACCAGGATCTAAGACTGAAAAAAAGATAAAGGACACACCTGCACCATTGTAAGTGATCCCGAGTTGTAAGACGAAGTCTCCAACTGTCGATCGCTGTTATAGTACTAACGATAACCTGGCAATCTATGTCTGTTAACATGGCTCGGCTTCATGCTGCTGTTTATATGTTCAAACAAAACAACGGTAGGACAATACTTCGCACGTTTTCACTGGGGACATCAGTTATTTACATTCACAGATGTTTTATCATGACCTTATATTGAAGCTACTGGCAAATAGGAAAAAGGAATTTCAATTCGTGTACTTTAAGTCAGCGTTAGGCATTTTAGGTGCGACGATTGTATTGAAAGCTAATGCTGATTTCGGTCTAGTCATGAATAATAGGTTGTATTTGTCGCCTTAGTTATTCTGATTTCGTGTATCAATGCTTCAACGACTTCCGTACCTAGACTTATCACTTGTTTATGAATTCAGTCTCGAAATTTATAAGCGTTTACTAGATTGCGTATCAGTTTTTCCTTACTAAAATAAAGAGGTGTGAGACCAAGTGGGCTTCAGATAGAAGTAGTGTATCAGTTCTGAAGTTATGTAAATGCTATCAAATATTCTAAAAATAGCTCACCATTCAGTTATACTTCGAACTGTTCACTACGTGCTTTATGAAAAAGGTTTTCTAATTATGGGAGAAGTCTTAAATTCTCAAGTTTAAGTAGTTGTTGCAAAAGAACTTAGGGCGTGACATTTAATAAAAAAAGTATAATTTCACCCAGTAATTTGATAGTATTTGTTTCTCCTGAGTTAAAATCTCATATGTGTGAACAAGTGTTTTGCCTACGCTTGTTTTGATTTATTTATTTATTTGAACACATAAATATTGGTACAAGAGAGCGCCAATATATATGCGCCACACAAAACAATGAGAATGCGAAGAGAAATAGAAAAAAAAACTAAGGAGCGCAAAAGAAAAAGAGAACAATAACGAAGAGATTGGTGTAAGGTAGTGGGGTAGTAATGAGGGAACGGAAAGGTACAATCGGAGGAAATCTTTCAGGTAAGGGAGACACAACCACTTTAAATGAAGAAAGTAAAAGGAGGTTACAGCAGGATCGCCACTGGCTTCTATTCTGAGCCATATCTGATAACGTCTCTAGCCACTGTGTAGCACCATCTCTCGGACCCCAACCAAGGAGTCGTGAAGGACCAACACAAGCCAGTCCTTTGCAGCTTTCTTTCATGCCATAACACCATGTCATGCACTGACCACCTCTCCGCTTCTTCCAACCAGTCCCAGAGTCGGCAAATAATGCACGACGTGGAATTCTCTGGGACGACATTCGGAGAACATGTCCAAGCCACCGACGTCGGTGTTTCAAGATGGTGACACCAATTGAATTATCATCTCTGTGCCCGAACACACGATGCCGAACCTCTGCATTACTGACATGATGTTGCCACTGGATGTCAGCAATCCTTCTGAGACAGCGATGATCGAACACAGGGAGTCGTCTAACGTCCTCAACTCGGAGAGACCAGGTTTCACTACAGCACGTTGTCATTAATTTGGCGTGGTTTATGGTAACTTAGATATCTTTTTGACTTATTCAAAACAATAACGAACGTAGCAGAATAACTTGGTCTTATCTAAAACAATGAGTGCCTTCGGTAAATTTTGTTAATGTCAAGGGAAAGCGTTGTTCAGAAGAATGTGATGTGTTTGTAGCAGTCTGGTCACATTTTTGGTCGACCAATTGAATAAAAGTTCAATACAGTAATAATTGGCAATAAAGGAAATGAAAAATAATATAAAGAGAATAAGTTGTCATCACCCAAGGCCTTAGAATGGATCAGAGGTTAACATAAACGCAAGGTGAAAGCAATTCATTCTTTCACACAATAATTCTTTGAGTTTCCTGGTAGCCAAGGCTTTTATAAACCTAAAAGTGCTCCCCTAGCATTTCCCCCATATAACGGTAAGAGCCAGTTCAAGGTCAGTCCTATAACCTGTATTAATTGTCTGTTTTGCGATCGAGGAGAGGGTGGTTTTTTGACCCTAGGGTTTATCGGAGCATAGGACACGCTGATAACGGAACCATTTTTGGACATGTTTCATCATTATAGAATGCAGTGTTCGGTTACTTACTGACGCGGTTTGTCGCAGTAGTATTTTGTTGATGACCAAGTCCCTGAAGCGTGGAAATAAGAAATATGAGGTTCCTTCACCAATTCTGTATTCTCTTCGTGCCTGAGTAGTTTATTACGTTTCTGAGTGCTTATTTATTTCATGTTGGTTACTAATTACTATAATCATAGTTTAGATGTGCTCTGTAGAAATTAACCAAGGTTTGCGTTTCATCGAGGACACTTAAATGATTTGTGATAAACACACTGTTAATGCCACGTTTTTGATGGAGTTTTGTTCTCTGAGCTGGATGGTTTGGTCGTGGAGCTTTCATCGTTCTTCTGAACGACATCATCAGCACAGACTTCACGACCAAACCATCCAGCCCACAGAACTAAACTCCATCAAAATCATCCACTTGAGCTGCAAATCTTCTCCACCATCTCAAAAAGTTAATGCCACGTTTCACAAGTTCCATATGATTGAGTAACGTCGGTAAACAATAATAGAGTTTAATGAATAAACCGGAGTCTTCATTGTTCTATACGGTTAAGAATACCTGTAATATATTAAAAAAAAGCTTGTCGTTCAGGCTAGTGTTGTGTTCTCAAAGCTGGATGATGCAGTTGGAATGTTTTCATACTCATTCTGGACAACAACTTATCATATTGTTCAAATTAATGCCGCCTGTTTCTCGATTAAATTATTCAGTTCGAAAAAAAACATCGAATGGTATACTTCTAAAATTTAGGACAGTTCTTAAGTAAGATCTCAGTCATTTTCATTAGCGAATCACAGCGTATATAAATGATAGTTTTTATTTTGACTAGAATAATGCTGTTGTTTAATCAGCCTACTACCTTAATTTGATTTGCACATATCTCGATGTTCACTTGATCAAAATCAAATCATTTCTATTTGATGAACGAACTCGATGTAACGTATCAGTGTTGACATTCACTTGATAAATATTCATCATTCAGTAGATTTCTTCTAATTATTTCTGTTTCATGTTACACCTTTTTGTAATAAATAAGTGGAATTGTAATTAATATAGAAACTGACAAATTGTAAATCGATTATTCCCGTAATATTTGTAATTCACTAACCATTCTTATTCATTTGTGTACTTCATTATTGTAACTTCTTTAAAAAATAATGGAAACTTATATCTTGAAGTGATATCAATGTGCTATGTTCTCTGATCTGGATATGGTTTAATTGCATGTCTTTCATTCTTGTTCTGGGTGACACCATCACAGACCACTTAGAATTAATATTTCGTTTTCAATAATTTGAATAAAACTTAATACTGCTGTATTTAGACATTTAATGGATTGAGAAACAAGTAAGTATAATTTTAATAGTTGAGATCACGAGTCAGTTGAAGCTAGACCATCATGGAAAACCTCGAAGCACTGGACGGACGTGTCAAGTTATTGTGGGACTCCTCAGCAGTGTGCATCCACGATTCCGCCTCGTGAGATTCGAACCCAGGACCTATCAATCTCGCGCGAAAACGCTTAACCTTTAGACCACTGAGCCGGCAT